CTTGTCAGGTGTTTCCTAAGCATGTAGAGTGACTTCCTAATTTCCCATGTCTGTGTAGTTACTTTTCAGAGGCCGAGTCTTCAGTGTTCGTCTCCCAAAGTGGGGGTCGGGTTAAGGATGGGGGGGAGTGTCATCCTTGAAATCAGCTGGAAATCTCTTCAGCCAGAGGCGGGCAGTGCCTTGTGCCAGTGAGGGCAGGTGAAGGAAGCAGTACCTCTTTGCGCTTCTGTAGTCAGAAGTGGAAGTCCGCAGAATGCAGATCTCTAGGGTGCGGGAGAAAGGGTTCTCGCTGCCCGTTCAGGCTCCCACAAGCTTCAGGGAAGCAGCTCCGGGGAGCCCTGCCACAGGCTTCAGAGTTAGGAGCTGAAATTGATGGAAATTAACTGTCGTTTACTATCCAGCCTTCCCTCGAAAGATTAGACAAATTTGCTGGTGTGGTTTTGCCGGGGTGGAGGAAAGTACTCTGCAGCCTACTCCTTCATCTTCCAGGGTCCTCAATACTCGGTTGACTTCTGCAGTTGATCCTCAGCGCTCCCCACCTTCGGCAGGCACAAGGCCCTCCTGTACGTGCTCCGCGGCCATGGCCGCCCCCTGTATCCCCATGCATACTGCTGTCTTGGTTCGCTTTGTCTCCGGCACCTCACTTCTTGGTGGATAGTTTCCTTCTGACTGAAGTGAGTGGTAAAATTAGTCCCTTTTTTCCTTCCAAAGAAATCTTCATTTGACCTTCACTCTGAGTGATAGCTTATCAGAGTAGAAAAGTCTAAATTGAAGTATTTCCTCTTAGCACATTGAAGATATTATTTTGTTGTCGTGGGGCATAATCTTTTCATTATCTTCTAGCATCTTTCATCACCGATGACATGTCGGTGTCACTCCCAGTTTCGGCATCGCTGAGAACTCAACAGGGAGTAACTCTTACCGAGGTCGCTGTGACAAGCGTGAGGCGGGCATTAATTCATTTAACCCTTAAGAAAATCTTTGGACCAGACATGCTCTTTTTCTTCATATTCCGAAGGAGGAAACTGAGGCTAACAGAATATGTCTCGCCCAAGAACAAGTAGAGAACAGCGGGAGCTCCTTCCCAGGTGTTTCAGCTACGAAGCCTACTTCGAGCTGCACTGCGCCTGCTCTCAGGTTCCAGCGCAGTCCGTGGGATCAGGACGGTGAGGTGTCCCTGAGAGACAGAACGGGGCCCCCAGCCTAGCCCAGCAGCGCTCCCTGCACTTCGGGGTTACTGGGTCTGAGAGTTTGGGCCACTTGAGGCCTTGTAGATTGGGAAGCACTGATCACAGAGGCCTCCTCTTGTGCATACAGATTGTCACGCGTGGCAGAGGGAAGGCGGAGCTGCCTCTCCCGAGCCCTTCTCCCTGGGAACAAGGAGGGACTGCGCGTCTTCACTGAGGTTGTATGCAGTGTTCCCTTAACAGAACCTCAGCCGGGGTACGCAAAGTGTACCTCACTTTAGCAGAGGCCCGATTGCACCTGCAGTTACTTTTAGAGAAATGACAGAAGAAAATTGGCATTTTGGTGGCATTCCTTGGAGGATTTAGCTCTACTCTGATGGAATTAGAGATTAAGATTTAACTCCAGAAAATGATTTTCTACATAAATTTTGTTAAATTGTACTTGGCTGTATCTAGAATTTAATCTTACTGTTGTAGTTTGTCTCAGAATGGCTCCGGAGGCAGCTGTTGCCATGTGAACCCTACTTTATCGCCCTCACCTCGAGAAGGGCGGGCGGCCTCCACCCGGCGTCCACCGTCAGGGTGCTCAGGGCGGGCTGAGTGGCCCCTGCCTCCTCCACCCGGAGAGCAGGCAGCACAGACGCAGGTGCAGGCGAGAACAAAGTGACGCGATTGCTGCTTACGGCTTAGACCTCAGATGTCCCTGGGAAGTCTCGTGCTCAGAGATGCAGCCTGCTCACGGGGAGCTGGTCCCCGGGGCCTCACCTGGGAAGGTCCACGTTTGTCCTCGGCTCCTCCCCGCACTCTGGGCCTCCTGGCCACGGTCTGAGCAGCTTCCCTCCCCGGCCCTCACACTGTGCCGTTTCTGAAGCCGTGAGCCGGGATGAGCTGCTCTTCCTCCTTCAGGTGGCGGTGTCGTGTCTGACCCAGCGATGGCGCAGTGACTAAGACACCGCTGTAGCAGTTTCTTTGTTTTCCAGGAATACCTCAGTATTGCAGACTCTCTGTCCATCAAGCTCCTCTGGACTTCCTCCACACCGACCCCATTAACACGTTCTTCTGGACTGTGAGGGGGCCTGACAGCCCCTCTTCCTTCCTGTAGCCGCCACTTCCCCAGTGTCTCTTGTTCATAGGCATGTCCATATATTTGGAGGCCTCAGCTATAAAATAGTAATTGACTATTACACATAAAAGCTGTTCGCAAAAGTGCAAATACGAGGCTGGATGTGGTGGTACACACCTGTAATCTCAGCACTCTGGGAGGCTGAGGCAGGAGGATCACAAGTTTAAGCCCAGCCTGGTTGATTTTGCAAGACTGTCTCAAAATAAAAACGTAAAAAGGCTGGGGAAAGGTTATGGGTCCAATCCCTGTACTCACACACACACACACACACACACACACACACACACACACCATAAAAAGGGTACAGAAATGAAGTATGGTTCTTTTTTGAATTAATGTTCCTGTTTAATTTTTGTATTATTCCATTTTGCTCATAATAAATGGACTTTGAAATCTGATTATGCAGCAAATGAGTAATTTTATCCAGAGAGGGAACTGACCTTTGCCTCAGCTTCTGGGAGATGCTCTAAGCCCTTGGACTTTCTGGCTTGATAAAAGTGTCTTTGTTTTTCTGTCAGCCTTGGGCCAGATCAGACTGTGCGCCCGCCATGGGGTTTAGAGTAGGCCTGGACGGGACAGTATGGACTCAGGCTCAGAGGGGACTGGTCACCAGACACTGGGTGAGACACGTGTCGTGCAAGCACCACAGCAGGACTCTGGGGAGCCCAAGGGTGAGGTGCGCTTCCGGTTGGCGGGCTCCATCCTGCTGTCACGTGGCTGCGGGGACGTTGGTGCTTCCGGTCTCCCCTGGGATAGGCTGACTGGAGCGCCACGCAAGAAACTCTCCTGGGCCTGGTCCCCGCGCCTCTCCTTTCGGCTGGTTCTAATTTATGGTAAACTAGGAGCTCTAATGGACTGTGCCATCTATGACGGCTTCCAGTGAGCTCTGAGAGTCCTGGCTAACTGTGAAATCTGAAGGTGTTCTTGGGGACCTTCTGAGCTTCTCACTGCTGTGAGTTCACGTCCTCGCGTCGCCGTCTCCCACTTCCCTTAACTGCGTGCGGAGGTGGCTGTGTCCCAAGGCGCCTGTGCAGCACGGCTTTGCCCTGTGCTTGGTTCTTTAGTCAGTAGCACTGGAGCGCCGGGCAGAGAGAGAACAGTCACGCGACATACCCCTGGTGTTGATGTTAATAAATAGGCGTGATTCGCTCCTTTTTTCAGCTCACGGTAGAATTTTCTCCTATTTTAACCCTTGGATGGGCAAATAGATGAGGCCTTTGAGTGATTCAAACTTTTGCAGCAACGACACAGCATTTATAATTTAAAAGCTGCAGCAACTTGGGCCGAGCATGGTTGAGGCAGAGGATGTGCACGAGCTCAGTAATGAGGGCTTTTGCTTGTGGCGTGGTCAGTTGGAGGTAGCTGTGGGTGTCCTGGTACAGACGCTTCGTGGGGCAGTTGCAGCCAGCACTCACACGACGTCGTTTCCTCCTCTAGAAAACGGGAAGCTGCCGTTTGCCTGGGCTGCAGAAAACCTGAGAAGGCCGTGGGAGGAAGAGCTTTCACTCTGGCAGTTCTAGTTCTTTTTTTAAATTAGTGTTTAACCAGAGGGGATAGAAGTTGTGCATGGAAAACAGTGGATCAAAGGCCGAGGTGCTGACCCTGGAGGCCCGCTTGGGAGCTGTCCGGAGCGCCCCCTCTGCCTTGGAGCAGGCTGTGGCCGAGCTTCTCAGAGCCCTGGGGCTCCCTGTGCGGGTTTGTGCTGGGAAAAGTGTAAGTACCCAGGGGTTCGGAATTTACACACAAGTTTCCAGCATTCTATAGCTCTTAGATCAGTTAGACAGAGGGAGTGAATGTGGAAACACTGTGTAAAGATTGAGACCAAGGGTTAAAACAGAGATACAGATATCCGAACTGTCCTCCAGAACTGCCCGGAGACATGGCTGGTATTGGAGCTGCCCTTTCCCCTTCGAAGGCAGGCAGCGTGGCCCGGTAGGATGACCACGTGCGTTCTGACACCCTTCAACTTGAATCTTGGGCTTTCTACTTACGAGGCTGTGACCTTTAGGGCATCTGCTACTTCGCTTTTTTAGGTCTTACCTTGTTTTAAAGATGGGGTTCAAGCACAACATGTCCATGATGTGGATTGTACAAGGTGGAGAACCAAACACAGCACCTAGTGTCGGGTAGCTACCTTACAGGCTGTCACTGCTGTGTGTGTGCCAGTCCTCGTCCTTATCCTGCATCTTTGGCTCAGGTTAACAGCGGACTCTCCCCTTTCTCGGATGGGTACAGTTATGACATGCACTGTGTATGCAATTGCATGTGTAAGTAGGCAGGTCTTGCTGTGTTGCTCAGACTGCCCTCAAACTTGTGATCTTTTTGCCTCAGCCTCCCGAGTAGCTGCAGTTATGGGTATGTGCCGCCGTGCCTGCCTTGGGTACTAATATTTTAAACTTTATTTTTGGTGATTTCAAAATTCTACATGGAAAATTTCGGGAGTCTTAAGTTTATTACAGAACAATACCAGCAGGCCCTTGTATCCTCCTTAAACACAGACACACTTCCCCTCCCGCCCCAGGGACAAGCGCTCTCACATTTCCTAGGCTGTTCTTTTGCTCTTTATCTCTGTCTCTCCAAATAAAGAACTTACACTGCTGCCGATTTCCCCCTCTTTTGCATATTATCTCTCCACTGCGAACAGAGCAGATAATTATTAAGCTCTCATCCACCTCTTTCCACCCCGCCAGATAGACCCGAATTTCAGCGGACTGTTCCTGGCGTGTGATCGTCACCCACAAAGCGCAGCTCGCCACCGACTCAGGCCGCCATCTGTAAGCGCTGTTTATTTGCAGCACAGCCTTTTGGTTTCCTGGTGTTATTTCATTTTTGGTCTTTCTGGATTTGTGTGTTCTTCAGCGAATTCCCCCCCCCAGGCTCTGCGTCACCCGTGACTCCTCCTAGACTTTCAGCTGTGTTGGGTTTTCTGTTAGCTTCATCTTCTGAAACAGTTAATGAATGGGTTTGATGCTGGCAGATTCATACACGCAGATAACATCCTTTGGTCTCAGGTTTATCTTTTGAAAGAAGTGTGTGTGTGTGTGTGTTTAAGAGACCTGGAAGAAGTGTGTGTGTGTGTGTGTGTGTGTGTGTGTGAGAGAGAGAGAGAGAGAGAGAGAGAGACCTGGCGGCTCCTTCAGCTCCTCCCTGTGGAGAGACCTGGTTCCTGGGACCTCATGTTTCTTTTCGAGATCTCCCTCATCCACGTGAAGCCCGTTCGCCAGTCGGTTCCCAAGGAGAGGGCTGGGAGAGATAGAATTCACTGAGCCCCTCAGTGCCCGGCCGTGGTTTCGTCTCCCTCTGCCTCGGCGCGTGGCCCTGGAAACCTCGGTGGCCGCCAGCTCCTTGCCCTGTGTCCAGGACGTGCTTTCCTTGGCCTTCTCCCCGGCTCCGCTGCTGAAACCTCAGACACCTCGGACGGTCATCTGCTTTTATCCGCGGGTGGCGCCCTCTAACCTGGAAACTCGTGCCCTTCGCTTGCCGCAAGGTTTCCAGAGTTCTTTCTTTATCATTTCCTCCCTCCTTTTCCCTTTCTTTCTGGAACTCACAGAAAGGAAGTCTATAGTTTTGGTCTCTTGGATGGTATTGGGCCTAATCATTTTATATCTTTTCTCCCCTATTTTTATTCTTTCTTTTTTATTCTATACTCGTGGAACTGTTTGTGAATCCTTCATTTCTGGTTCCCTATTTTAAAAAATCAAAGATCTTTTTTTTTAGTTATAGCATTTTTTAATGACTACAGTATTTTCTTTCATTTATTCTCTAAGATCATCATGAATTAGGTTACCTGGTTTTAGTTTTATCATTTTCTCCTGCACAGGCTGTTTATTGTGTTAATCTTGTCTTCTTCTCTGCCTTTCATGTTAGAAGTCTCAGCTACCGGATGGGTGTGGTTGTCTGTTCACGTTTGACGCAGGTGACAGAAGCGCCCTGCGAGTTTTACATGTGCGGCTTGTGTTGTCCTGGGGCCCCCCGGCTGGGCTGTTTCCTTAGAGAACTCCAAACTCAGTATCTTTCGGTTTGTCTTGTGGGCTGCTCAGAAGGGTTTTGTGATTTCCCACTGCCACGTGGCCACCTCTGGTTGTTCCCAGTGCTGTAGCCCCGTCCCCGGCTGACGGAAGCCTCGTCACCTTCCGCTCCCGGGAGTGACCAGTACACGCAGCGTGTGAGAGTGCTGGGGAGTCGGGAAGTGCAGACTGGGCTGAGTGTGAGACTTGGCTGTTCCCGGAGCCGGCCTGCTCTCCTGGGTCTGCTGCGCCTGTGACTGCCCACCTGTCATTGTTTCAGCTTCTGAAAGTTTGATTCTTTTCTCTCCTGTCCTGATCTCTCTGAGTTTATGGTGTGTGGGTGCGTGTACGCGTGTGTGTGTGTTTGGTGGTGGAACCCAGGGCCTTTGCACTGAGCTGTATCCTCAGTGGCCCACTTTTTTTTGAGACCAGTTCTCAGTAAGTTGTCCAAGCTTAAATTTGTGACCCTCCCCCCTCCACCTCCCAGGGATTACCGATGTGTACCACCAGGTTTGGCCTTAGGTTTTTGTATCTTTTGTGAAATGTCCTTGCTGTCCTTTTAGGGGGGGTTTCAAGAGAAAGCAAAATGCGTGTGTCTATCTAATCGGGCGCTTTAATCGGATCGCTGTATGCAGTGTTGACAGTACAAGGAGCCTTTGTTGTCTCTGCTCATGTAGCGGTTTCTGTGTGAGGCGAGGCCACAGCAGCTGCAGTCGGCACCGTCGAGGCCGCAGACCCGCACCTGCTCAGTGCTGTGCTCGAGGCGCCTCTTTGAGCTCATCGGTGACCTTTCGAGTTATTTGTGTTTCTGCGTAGACTTAGCGCTTCCTGGGCTGTGGGATTTGAGGGATTCCTGCAGCGCGCTGACCTCAGGTCTCGGGACATTTAACCTCTAATTTTATGGTTTGGGTTTGTTTTTGTATATGCAGCTGCCTCTCAGCGGTGCGCGTGTCACTCATCCTCAGTTTTGCCCTTTAGCGCCTGCCTTTTGCATGAAACAGCTTGGCTTTTTCAGAGCTGTTTTTATTCTCAGATTGTCCTGGGAGGGCGGCGTGCATAGATTCAGTCTGCGCCAGCGTACTCTCAGGGTGATGTGCTGGTAGGGACCGACCGTGCTCCCACCCCCGGTCCAGGTGTCGGGGACCAGTTCAAGGAATGGTCTCTCAGAATTCATCGATAGGCCAATTATTTACTTGGCATTCCCCCCCAGAAAGCTCGGAGCTCCTGGATAAAAAGCCAGATGCTATGTAAATTCAGCACATCTTAATACTCTGAACCCAGGAGCCTGTGTATTCTCACTGTTCTTTTTAGCTGGAACAGGAAACTGTGGCTTGACTTGGTCCATAGCGTTAACTAGATTTCTTTTTTTCTCTGTAAGACAGTGGTACGACAAATACTTGTCTGTTTATAAGTCAAGCTTGAACGTATCAGTTATACGTGTACTTCGGCGAATGCCCCGCAGATGCTCGGAATTACAAGCGCTCACGGTTCAGTGGGGCTTCTTGCAGAGCTGCCTCAAGTTTCTTTATGTTTTCTTCGTTCCAGGTCATTATTGTACAGTGACTTTGGAGAAGCAATTTTCTTAAGAGCCTACAAATTGGATTATTCTCTTTTATTGAATTGAAATTCTTAACAATGCTTTCTGCTAATGAGATATTGTATACACGTTAGGCTGGAAAGGCTAGTTTGAGTTATTTAGTTAGCATTTCGGAATTAGAAGTCATTGATTAAAGCTTTACTAGTAACTCATGCAGAGTTCAGTAATAAAAAGGCTTCTGCGAGGTGCTGCAGACACAGCCCTGGAAATCCCAGCCACACAGGACTCAGAGGTGTTGTTCCCGTACGGTCACACCACACAGTCCCGCTCTCTGCCAGGGACCCTGCTGCGGCGCCGCTGGCCCTCCGCTTCCAGGAAGCGTTCCTCCCTCAGCCCCTGAGTCTCCAGGGGTGGCGTGCCACAGCCCAAGGGGCAGGAAACCCCCTCTCCACTCCAGCTTGTGGTTTTGGTAGGAAACCATACTTGGGATGTGTAAAAGTTTTTAACATGAGAGAGAAAAAATTCAGGTTCATTTGTAATTTTTTTAATATATATATTTTTTCTATGGATATTTTTCCTTCTGGCCTGACAACTTTTTTCTTTCCAGTTCAAGATTGATGGAGAATGGTGGACGTGGATTGATTACAACCGCTTCCAGGAGCTCGTCCAGGAATACGAAGATAGCGGCGGATCCAAGACTTTCTGTGCAGAGGATTACGTGAGTCGAACTCCTCCCTGGGCGTTGTTTGGTGCCAGTGAAAGAGGCTTTGATCCCAAGGACACGAGACATCAGAGGAAGAGCAGATCAAAAAACGTCACAGGATGTTGAGCTTGTCTGAGTTCATGCTAAAGGGCGAGGAGGATGGACCAGAAGGTCATTGGACTCCCCGTGACTTCCAGGGACAAATCCTGCCGCTTAGCTGTCACTCGGCCAAGATACGTGTCCTGAGGCCGCGCTGGAGAGGCAGCACCCGCACTTCGAGTGCCTGGACTCGGCCCCGCGTTTCTCACAGAACTCAGGCCCTTCCTGATTTTATTTCTGAGAGGAACATCGCTTTGGTCATTATTGGAACATAAGTAATACTTTTTTGAGTTATATTTTAGTAAGATTTCCTAAAATACTATTCATGGGTGCTGTATTAGGAATAAATAGCTGTGCCTCTTCCTCCTCCTGAGCTCTTGGTTTTTCTGTGAAGCAGCCACTAAGCAGTGCCCTGTGGCCGCCCCCCAGCTGATGTGTCAGGACACCATCCCTTCCTGATGCCTTTACATAATACCCCGGAAATAGTTTGTCACAGTTTTCAAATATTCTTAAGTACTGTACCAATTGTTCTAAAGTTCTGCCTTTTACCAACTGTGTATGAAATCACTTTGGGTCACACACTGTACTGGATGCCGCTGTCCCCATACAAATTCCATGGACAGGATCAGAGCAGAAGCGCTCTCTGGGAGAAATCGCCTTGCGATGGTGCCGAGCTCTCTGCCTCAGCGGCGCAGTGTGCAGCGGGGAGTCGGCGCCAGTTGCGAAGCCACGGCCTGGCCCGCACCGCGCGGCGGGCCTCCATCTTGCTTCACTCCCGTGACCCTCGCTGCTTCTGCAGCCTGTTCTTTAAGGTTCAGATTGTTTCTAGTTTAAAACATCATACTTAATAGTTTTATTCTGCTTGTCAAAGTTATTTTAAAATCCTTTTATCCAAAAAATTAAATTAATAAAAGTCTTTCGTAAAGACTTCATGAATATTCTTTTATGTGCTTAAAGGTCCCTCTGGTCACGTAGTGCTAAGCCCCATCAGACCCACCTTCTCACACTGCAGGTATTTTGTCAGAGCTTCTATTCTGTGGTGAACTGAAATCCATAGATGATATAATCTACTTACCTGCTTAGTTGAACACTGAGAGCCGTATTTATTTTTAAATGGAAGAGTCGAGATGCTTCTTTCTGCTGTGACCTGGAATGGTGAATACGGGAAAACCCAGCCTTTTCTTTCTGCATTTACACCGCTCTCAGGATGTCACTTCTGACACCAGATGTGGATTGTGGAGGTCCCACAGTGACCAGTAACAATTCAGTCCAGTTCTAACTCTGTTCTGGTTTGTGTTGAGATGTCCCCCGCAAGGCCTGCTGCAGTCATAGGTGGGGCTTTTTCAGAAGTGACTGGGTCTGGAGTATGTGACACTAGAATTGACCCATGGTGCAAAGCTAGGCTCAAGGGCAGTAGGAGTAAGGGTGTGAGTGTAACCATCCTGAATAGACTGGATAAGGTATAGGGGATAGAACTGTGGTCGTCCCTTGGCTTGCTTTGCTGCCTTCTGCCTGCCATGGCCTGTTTCTCCTCTGTGATGCCTCTCTGCCGTGCGACCCACCTTGGAGCCAGTGGATGGTGGACTGAAACCTCTACAAACTGTGAGCTAAATAAACCTTTCCTCCTTTTACTTTGAGTGTTGTGCATTCTGTCCCAGCAACAAGAAGAGTAACTAAGTCAGATGCTAACTGTAGTTACCACGCACCCACAGAAGAGAGGCTCAATCCTATGAGACTTCCCCTTCCTCCAGACTGCACTCCCACATAGGTGGCCCCATAACCCTCTGCCCAACTGTACTCTAAGTCAGAGATTCCCACTACTCCCTTCTTGGGTTTGTCATTTGCTACAGGGGGTCATAGGACCCAGGATGACAGAACACTTCCTATTGCTGATTTACAAAGAATATTTCAAAGAAACAGCCAGATGAACAGATCCACAGGGCAAAGTCCGGAAGGGCCCCCGGGTGCAGGAGCTTCTGGCCCTGTTACGCTGGGTGCATCTCCCTTTTGACACATGGATGCGCTCACCCTCCTGGAAACTCTGAACCCATAGTGCGGGAATTCTTATGGAGGCTTCGTCACATGGCCATAGTCGATCTCCCAGGAGCCCAGCAAGAACAAGCCTCATCACAACAGAAGGTGGCTCCATCCCCTGGTGCTCCAGCCGAATAGGAGCTGTGCACCAGGAGCTGGGCAGATGTTAGAATAAAAGCTTACTGAACACTCTGGAAATTACAAGAGCCCTAGGAGTTTTTTGGGCTAGGGACAGAGGGGCAGAGAACTAAGTATATCTTTTTCATCTGTCACTTTGGGGATAATGACAAAGTACCACAGTGATCCTATCTTTCTGAAACCCAGCACATCATCAAGCTCTATGCAGTCTGCTGTCCTCGCTTACCACAGAGTTTGGTGATCAAGGGCGGCTAGGGAGAATCGCACTGTGCTATAGTTGCTGAAGAGAGATGAAAAACACCTCCAGCCAGGTCTGGCGGAACAAGCCTGTAATCAGCAGTCTGGGAGGCTGAAGCAGGAGGATCGTAAGTTCCAATCCAGCCTGGGCAACTGAGTGACTTAGTGAGACCCTGTCTCAAAAAAAGGGTCAGAGATGCAGATTAATATGAAGGCCCTGGGTTCAGTTCCCAGTACTGGAAAATGGACATCTTCAAGTAGAATGAATGGTTAGAAAGCCGAGGAACCACAGGTGGACTCCTGGATAGGCGGGCAGGTGGGGGCGGCCAGCTGTTGGGAAGGTCTGCAGGGGCTGCCAGGGAGCAAGTTGGAAGGCACACACGGCTGGGGGCGCTCGTAACCTCTTCAGCCAACACTGCCTCAGTTTATTATGAACTGAGGTTTTGCTTAAGATTTGACTTGAAGGAAGATACTTTGTTGTTTGAAATGATAACAAAAACAGAAAACCCCTCACAGAAGGAGCCTCTGAGCCCATTAGCTTGAGGTACATAAACGAGTGTTCTTTCACGCCAGAACGTATCGATCCGCTGCTTCCTATTAAAAAAATAATAGCATGGCACATTAATCCCGGCTCACAGTCACAGCAGAAAATGTAAAATGCCTTAGGGAGAATACAAAGGCCTCTACGCGGGAAATAAATTTGTTGAAGACTAGAAAAGGATGGAAACCCCGGGCATGCTTAGAAGGTGAACCAAATGATTCTAACACTGAATGAAGAATTAGCTAAATAGGTGGGACTAGTTGAGAAATTTTAGAAAAAATATCTATGAAAGAAAAGTTGCCAATTTACTAGAATGACAGAATGATTGCAAATGTGTGTGTGCCCGACGGCGAGCCCCAAAACGTACAAGCCAAAACCTTTAATTCAGTTTTTAAAAAAGTGGCAGCTTATGGGATGAAGACAATGAAGCAATTAATAGTCTGAGACGTATGTGCCCCATTTCTAGTAATAGGACGACTCATCAGAAGAGCGAGCAGGAAATAGATTTGATCAACACTATAAACCAGGCGCCCCTAACCTCCAGGGAACACTGCAGCCCCAGCGCCTTACTACCAAGTGCCATGGGGTGTCCTCAGGAGAACCCACATGTGAGGCCATAAAATAAGTCTCCTTAGATCCAAAAGGATTGAAATCATACAAAATATATTATGGTCCTAGCAGAAGGGAAGTAGAAATCTGCAACAGAAAAAAAAGCAAGACATTCACAACCATACGGGAGCTAACCAAGATTCTAAATAGCCAAAGGGTCAAAGAAGTCACAAAACAAATTTAAAGGAAGGAAAACAAAACCACAGCATATCAGAACTGAAATATTGCTACTGCAGCACTTAGAGGGACATTTATCGTTGCAAATATTTACATTGAAAAGAACCTGGGCCGGGGATATAGCTCAGTGGTACAGTGCTTGCCTGGCCGGTGCAAAGTCCTGAGTTAGATTCCTAGCACCAAACCAAACCAAACCAAAAAAACCTAAACAAACAAAAGAAAAGAACCTGTATGATGAGAAAAAGAATTAAGATGAGATATGTACATGTTCCATCTCAACACTAGGAATGTGAACATTATGTACTGCAAGCAAGTAGTAATAAAAGCAAATGAAAAGAACATGTGTGTCAAATCAGTAGCCTAAACTTCCACCTTAAGAAGCTTGAAAAAGAAGAGCAAATCAAACCCAAAGTAAACAGAAAGAAGCAAGTAATAAACATTAGAGAGGAAATAAATGAAATAGGGAAAGAAAAAATTTTAAAAATCACTGAAGTAAAAAGTTCATTCTTTAAAAACTTTAATAAGCCAGACACTGTGGGAGGCTGAGGCAGGAAGACCACAAACTCAAGCACAGCCTGGGCAATGTAAGGAGACACTCAAAATTTCAGAAAAAGTTGGGAGTGCGGCTGGGGATGTAGCTCAGTGCAAAGACCCTGGGTTCAAGCCCCAGTACCAAGAACAAACAACCAACTTCCACAAAACCAAGCAACCTTTAGGTTGTCACCAAGAAAAAAAAAAGTGACAGATCACTAAAATCAGATATAGATATGCAAATATGATGTTCGTACAACAATGAATACCCCAAACCCACTAAATTGCCTAATTTACTTGTTTTTTTTTTGTCTTTTTGAGACAGGGTCTCGCTATGTAGCCCAGGCTGGTCTTGAACTTGCAAAGATCCTCCTACCTCAGCCTCCCGAGTGCTGGGATTACAGGCATGAGCAACCACGCCCGGCGAACTGCCTAATTTAAGTGGGCAAATTTTATGGTATATGAAATACATCTCAATAAAATTTTTCTTTGTATAGTACTGAGGATTGAACCCAGGGCCTTTGCACATAGCTACATCCCCAGCCCTTTTGAAATTTTTGAGACAGTTTCATGAGTCACTAAATGCTAACATTCTTGTAATCCTCCTGCCTGAGCCTCTCAAGAGTGCTAGGATTACAGGAATGAGCCACTCATGCCCGGCACTATAAAGCTATTTTTTAAAAAGTAAAAAAAAGAGGGGCAAACCTGGATGTTTATAACACTTAAAGGGAGTTTGTAATTTGGGCTTTTGCAAGGGGAACAATATAATACAGGACACATATTTTATAAGATTATTTATAATAGTCACCCAAAGAATCATATACAAAGAAAATGCAGTAAATCTGTCCACACACTAAAAACCAAAAAATCCAGCTGAGGGCCAGGATCCCACAATAATGTCCTGCATGAGTCCAGCTGAAGACCTAGAGCCCATAACAATGCCTCCCATGAGTCCAGCTGGAGGCCTAGAGCCCACAACAATGTCTCCTGCAGGCCTGTTTCACGGACCTGTGCTGGGAAGGCCCAAAGGTCAGTGGTAGAAGTTAGAACGTCTGTGCCAGCGGGATGAAGGATCTGTGCCAGCAGGCTGAGGGATCTGCACTGGAGCCAGGAAGCGACGCTCAAGGTGAGAACCAGAGCTCCCTTGAAAAGTACCCCAGCCGTCCTCAGCGACAGTGAGATCCCGAGCTCCTCCAATGATCAGGACAGCCGAGTTCCCATCAGGAAAGCCAACGTGACAAGCTTCTCCAGGAGACCAACAGTGCACCACCTTCCTCTCTGGAGCCAGGAAGCGATGCTCAGAGTGAGGACCAGCACTCCTCCGAAGTGAACTGAAGCTGTTCTCCGTGACAACAAGGTCCTGGGCTTGTTGGATGATGAGAACAGCCAAGTTTATCATGAAAGCCAGCATGACGAGCTCCTCCAAGAGAACCAACAGCTCCTTACAGCTTCTAACAGCACCCAACAGCTTCTCAGCTCCCAGCAGCATCACTTCTTCTCCAGTTCTGCCTCATGCTGACGGCCTCAGGTGGGCCTCCCACACCCAGCACCACGCTGGTTCAATTCAGCTGGGTGTTACAAGTTGACCACCAGTTGTCAGTCCACCACAGGAAGCCTCATAAAACAGTGGGGCTGTGGGAGGAGAACACAAAGCACTTAGCTC